GGGTTCGTCGTGCTGACCACACGTCACCCTGTATCTGGTTGGATGATCGTTCACCTCTGCTGAGGCATTTGAATGTGAGGCCAGCAGCCAGCTAGTCGGCTTTGGTTCTCAGAGGGCTGTTATGTCACGGGTTAATAAGTGGTGCAGTTGTATGTCATTTGAGGATTGGTGTAGTGCTTGGACATGTCTTAAGAACAGGTGTTAAGCATTCTCACTGCCTTAAGTAATCTCCATCCTTAAAGATACAGAACCAGAAGTGTAGAGGAATGTGTGGGGAACATTTAGTGCTGCTTACATTATAATGTTTTCACAGTTACTGTCTTTTCATTGCTTACTACAGCACCACATGATTTGTAAATAGATGTTATCACTACTACTTTCAACATCATCACAGTATTTTCACCCAGGTCATAATCACTGTCAGCATGAAATTTGTCATGTACTTTCATGTAAACATACTGCAGTCTTCCATCCTGGCATGCCTTCTCATTTTAACTTCATAAGTAGAAGAAGCTAGTTTTTACCACCAGTGATCTGTCTGAACAAAACAAAATGTCTTTTACATTATTTCTCATTTCATAGTGTGAAGAGTGATTTTTTCTCTATTGGGATATTAATAACCTCTGAAATATTGTTTGTAGGTTCTTGTACAGTGTGAAATGTCGGTAACAGGGAGTGGATTGAAGTTAATAGATGTGAAGAAATTGCACCGTATCCTCATGGAGGAGCTGACAGCGATTCAGAGCAGCTCCACTGCTGGTCAACGACAGCTCATATTGCAGGAGATTCAGGTAATGTTTTCTTAATATGTTATTTTTTACATGTGACGAGGCTGCTCTTGGTTCCAGGTTCTTTCTGGTTCATGTGGACTTTCTTATCCCCAGCCCAATACAAAGCTGAATTTGATAAATGGTGATGAAAAGTCCTATTTACCTCTCAGAGTTTTAGATATTGTTTGTTGAGTTTATATGTTAATTATTAGTCATATATTTAACAGCTGATATCTGTCCTTTACCACATCTAACACCATTTAAGGTAAAGTTGTCCCTGATTTGAACAATGTTCCTTGACAGCACGTGAGGGAATGAAGTTAGAGGTACAGATGTTTTATGTTGGAACTAGGTAGAAGTGAGGGGTTTGCTTCTTGCTCCAGCAACTTTGTGCTTGTGGAAAGAGGCCTAGAGGCAGACTTCCGTAAATAATGTAGTATGTGACTATGATGATATATTTATTTAATGAAAAAAATAAATATGTTGTCACTGCTAAATAATAGAGTTAAAACATGTTCACAGCAAAATCTTATCAATCTCAGACAGTATATTGGAAAACTGATTCACTACAACTCTGCAGTAACAAGAAATGATATAAACATGTTTTAGTTTTTATTTGTTGCTACTACTTATAACTATTATTTCATAATTTTGCTTTTTTTTCTGTATCAGGCTGTACTGATGTATGCTCTGAAGCACAATGTTCATCGTTCTCATGTGGGATCAACAGTGTGCTATATGGATGCATGGCGTCAAGTATCTGAGGTTCTGTTTGCAGTTACACCACCTGAGGTTCTTCCATTTGAGTTACGCAAGCAGCTGCTTCTGGAGACTGTTCACTTGCTGCTGAGGAAGGTAAATAGCATTTGTGCTAGGTAATATATCAAATTTAATTGTATATTGTGGGAAATGCTGGTGACGTAATAAAGTGGAAACTGAACCTTAATTTGCTGTACATGTATACTACAATGCCTGACAATAATGCATCAACATGTATTGAATTTGCTTGACAGATGTAAAATGCAGAGTAGTTAAGATTCAGCCATCTCTTATGCTAGATTGAAATGAACTTGTCATCCATGATATAGAACACCACCTCCTGCCAAATGCAGGAGAAGTACCTTGAAGTGGGCTATGACTGCTTCCTTCCACATCTTTTCCAGTTTGTATTTCTCAGTCATCCGACCACTCAGTCTTACATAACCTTGCAGTTGAAAAAGTGTCATTGAGTTACCAATGATTCAGTGAATTTATATTTATCTGCTTGCACTGTAAATAATCTTCTTAATAGGTACTGCTGCAAGATGCATTGCCTGAGTTGGCAAACTTGGCATCAGGAGTGGTTTTACTTCTGCTGGTAAACCTTCGTCATTGCTTAATGTTGAAGCAGAAGGAAGCAAAATTTGGACCAGTGAAGGACCATCTTGGTAGCAGCATTTCTGGTATACCAGATTATTTTGATACCTGTAATATGCCATCACTTCAAGCTAACACTGCAACACTAAAAGTGATCTTGTCCAGTATTGTTGAATGGATATTGAAATCAGGTAAGTACGTTAACGTGTGAAAATGTTCAGGCTGACTGAGAACCAGAAGGAAATAGAATTGGGGTTGAAGAAAGATGGAAAATGTCATTGTTAACAGTACTTTAAAAACGTTTATACGTATTTGTGTATGTATGGAAGTATGCCTTACATACTTCTGTCAGCAGTGTAAGTGACATGTGTATGTTTTAGGCATTGCGTCACAGCAGCTGAGAGCAAATTTGTATGGTGCTCTTCTGAATTTCTTGCACATCGCATGTATTGGTGGAACATTGGTGCCAGAGGTGCCTAGTGAGGATACAAAAACAAACAGCCTCTTTGTGAGTCGACTGGACAGCTCACGGTATCGGGCAGGTGTTACTGAACAACGCAGCCAGTGCCAAGCTAGTATGGATGTTATTGTTGGCTTTGGTGAAGGACTAGTCGATGTTTTATGTCATGATTGCACAGGAGGTCATGATGTGTGTAAGGTGAGTGGAAAACATTTCAAAATTAAATGAATACTGTTTACTGGCAACTGGGAGTACTGTTATGAAAGTGTGACTGTCAGTTTATCATTTGATTAACCAGTTCACTGATTAATAAAACAAGTTTTATTTGTGATTGACGTCCATATGTAAGGGGGCTCTGTAATTACTTATGTTTCAGATGTTGGCCCTGTCATGTCTGGACAAGCTCATAGAGCTGGATCCTCACACCAGCTGGGTTTCATTTTTGTCATCACATGGCTATCTCAAACACCTAATTGACAGCTTACTAGATTCTGATGAGAAACTTCTTTCAGTACTTGAAACAGTTCCCACTACGCTCCGTCCACTCTACCTGTATGAATCTAAAATGGTAAGTTCATTCCAAAACTATTCAAAATATGAAAATATAGACTCTTCATTACCAAACATGTCTGTCTTTCTTTATTCCTTGTCTTCTTTGTTTGTTTCTTCTCTCTATACCAAACATGTCTGTCTTTCTTTATTCTTTGTTTGTTTCTTCTCTCTGAGCCTTCTCTTCCTCCAGCCTTGTATAAATCCTTGAACTTCCCAGCATCATCACTTCAGTCCTGGCGATGGAGATAGTATGTTTCTCCAAAATGTTGATATCTACTGACACGTCTACATGGTGCCAAAACCCAGAACATCGTCATCACTTGGTATATGGCACAAAATATTTTTTGGTTTTATATGGTACACAAAGAATTTTTTTCTCTATGCCATGTAATATCTGTAGTCTAATTAGCTTTACTTTTACGATTTACTTTAATTTTTATTTTGTTTGTTTGTTTAGCCCATATTTTTGTTTTAAATATTTTACATTATCCTATGAATAAGTCTCTGGTTATAGGCATTGCTGTGTCGTATTGCATCCACCCATTCTGGTGCGGAGTTGTTGCTAGAACATGGCACGTTTTCCTGCCTTTCATCCATGGCAGTATTTGACCACCACCCTGATATTGTCAGGTCAAAGTAAGTACCAGTGCCTGATATTAGTTGTGTCTAATAGTCCATGTCTTGCTACCATTGATAACGGTACTTTTTTTTTCAATTTCTAATATGTACTTCTGAACATAATTGTTATCAAGATAGGTAAAATAAGTGGCAGACATGCTAGTAACTGGCATGTTGAAAAATTTAAATACGTGCACATTGAAATACTAATGCATGTACAGGATGTCAGCTGTCTCCATACCATTTTTTTTTTACAACTTTGTTTTTCTGTAGGAGATACGCTTTGTGATATCATGACAATGTTGTTAACTATAGCAAACTTTAAAATTCATTAATTATTTTCCATTCTTTGTACAATGTGCATAGCAAGAATGCTTTATAGGCTGGTTGTGTCTGTCCACCCATCTGTCCAGTCAATTCAACTCAAGAAACACTGTAAGGATTTGGATGATATTTCATGTGGCATTTGGGCTGTTTTGCATGACCTCAAAATCATACTTTGGAATATCGTACGAAAAGTGACAACAGAATGACAGATTAAGAAAGTCATGAGTTAGACATTAAGGTGCTGCAATCTAGTGGCCAGGGTAGGAACTACCAAACAAGGCAAATTGAATACCTCTGAATGCATGTTGCAAACAACATGTGAGGATATTATGTGTATTCCAGTACAGAATACACTTTGTGAGCTTCTATTTAAGTTACAATGTTTCCTGGTTTTCTGGTGATGTATGGGTTATTGAAATGGATGAAAGATTTGAGAATGTTACTTGATAGGTAGCTGTAGTCGAGAATTAATAGTATGGATAGTGTTATGCAGATTTCATACTACATTGGAGTACACCATTCACAATTTTGTTCAATGATGTTTCCACAAAAGATACGTTTCAACTCACTCGTGATTTAAATTATGCTCCCATTGGCTCGGGGCAGGCTACACCTTTCACGTCCCTGCCTATAAAATCCAACTCCTCACACCCTATTGGCATATTCATCGCCCTGATGACGGAGGCAGTATGACCTCTGAAACGTTGGTTAACATCGACCAGACTACACAGCGCAATAACCCAGAAGACAGAAATTTTCATATATCATGTTATTAATAGTTATGGCCAGTTATTTTGATGTATATGTTTAAGTTCTGTAAATATTCACATGTTTATGTCTAGAAATTCTAGTCTGATTTTTCTTCATTTGAAAATCCAGGGTTTCATGAAAAGTCTTTCAGTTTTTATTTGGTTAGGGTCATTATAATGAAATGGTAAGGAGTGAATTTTACTCTATGTACTTATGGCATTAAAATTGATATGATTTACACCAAAGAAGAGAGGAGTTGATAATTGTAGTATTGTGAGTACAACATTGGATTGCTAAGGTGTCATTTAGGACCCCCATAATCAAATGATGTGCTGTATGCACGCTGTTATATAATCCTCAATTATAATGGAAGGTCTAGTGGTAAAACTTAATCTAACTCTGTCAGACTCAAGTTTGAAATGCATTTGGGTCCTGGGTGAATATTTATGCTTCCCATCCTCTGTCACCACTTGATGTATATTACTTTCTGGCTTTATGGTTACAGATTCTTCATTTCATGTTGAACCATAGTGAGATGGTGATGATGGTGTTGAGAGCTGGCAGTCCGTATCTGCAGCTTGGCCATCTTAAAGAATTGGCATGCCTTACTGGAGTTATAGCTCGCTCATCTTACCAAGGTTAGTTGTGGTTTGTGGCCTTGACTACTGCATTAATTCTTTGAAGCCAAAGCTCATTTAAATGATATTTAAGTATTTAGTCTGTGCCACATAGAAAACACAACACTTCACCGTTACAAGGATGAAGTGGTTTATCCTGTCTACGAAAATAATCCGTTTACACTGAGAATCATACAAGACCCATAAGTAAAAAATACAAATTTACTGACTTAAAGCAGCTGGTACATGTAATTACTGCTAGTTTTGAAGGGTTAATATGCATAGAAAAACACTTTGATATGATTTTGAATGTTAGCTAGCTGTATGGGAAAATTCTCAGTCAAGAGACTAGCCATCTGGAGCTTTTTGGTTTCCCTCAATCCGTCCAAGCAAATACGAGGATAGTATCTTAACTTAGCCCTCAGCCACTTCCTTCCATGTCCTTTCCAGTTTATTAATCTTCCCATAATTTGATGCTACATAGTATGAGCTACTGACAGCATAGTTAAATGAAGCATAAATATATAAAATGTGCTCAAGTGTTTGTGTAAGCGTACATAAATGTACAGCACGATCTCTGAAGCATACTTTTTTCCTTAAGAATGCAAAGAAAGCTAAAAATGGTGATGGGTAAAGGAGATGGGAAATGTTACAATGGATCTTACAGAAACATCTTTTTCAAAATAAACTGGACTGGATTGAAATGGCTTGTGTTTGTTGCTATGTTGAACCATCATGCCATGTTACAAGAGAATTAACAGATTTCTAAGTGAAGAAAATGATTAATCATTTGCCTTGGTAATTA